ATTCAACAGAATTGGAGTCTGCACTTGTCTGGTACTATTAGAGGAATGTAGATAGTACGGTGATACAGGAGGATCAACGGAAGTAATTGATGCTGCTGGTCTGGTACTCATTTATGAAGAGAAAACAGATCAAAGGGAAAAGATAATAAACAAAAAACGAAAAAGAAACAGATATCAGATTTCAGATTTAATTTTTTGGATCTTGCTCTGATAGCTTGCCAGAATAGAAGAATTCTCTCTTGCATATTAATGTAATAGAGTACATCTCTCTATACACCTTTAGTGTCGGCTAAACATCCTAAATAATAGGAGATATACACAAATCATAAATCAAGACTAATCAACCAAAATATATCATTATCCTCACAATTGTGACCTGATGATTATTATTATGCAATGGCCTGCTTTTGTAATTAGATATGTTGAGTTTAGGAGATTGTTTTGTTGATTGATATGATGATGTGTGATGTTAATATCAGAAATGATCGTAGTATGTTGAGAATTTGGTATTGTGGAAAGTGTGTGATGTATATGTGTAGTTGGACTGGGGGACGAGGACATGGTGATCCCATCAAAGCTCATAAACCAGCTGACGAGCCAAAGGTGGCGTACGACCTTTCGAGGTGGCGCCCAGCCCAATTGCGTCTGGTGTCAGTGTCATGTGTTAAGTGTGTGAAGTTATGATATATGAAGTTAAGATATGTTATGTGAGGATATGTGATGTGATATTAAGTTATATGATGCGTTCCTGTTCTAGGCTTAGTATATTTGTTTGCTGAATTATATTGTTGTTGGTATAAATCAGGTGGGTAGGTATGATCGACCTCACTAAGTAATTAATTACTCACCCCTCTTTTCCCCTCTTTAGTATGTGCAGGTGTGTTCCTTGTGGTGACAGTTAGGGCACGAGACCTATGGCACAAAATTAACGGGAACGGGTGTCACAATTTTGTATGAGAGCCTAGATTAGCAAAACCGGTTATGACCTGGTCTTAGAGAAAGAAAAATATTTTAAAATTAAAGTTTTCCAGAAACGTTCAAAATGATTTGGAAAATGTTTTTAAGGGAACATGATGTTTAGTGTCTATGGTCTCACGCTATAGTTATGTTGTTTGATTGTAAGTCTTTAGTTGATTGAGTTGGTGGGTTACAAGTGCTATGTTTTTTTTTATTATTTAAAAATAGTTGTGTAGTGTTTGGTTTGAAGAATTAAGCCCCACACTTTGTTCAATATTGGATCCACATCTAGTTTGTGAGTTTTAAATTGACAAATGTTGAGCTTCTGGAGGTGCATTGTTAAGAAGGTAAAGAAGAGCTGGAACGTCGCAAGCAGCAATGGTGAAATCTTGAAGAAAGACCTAGAAGATGTCTGATTCAACTGAAATTTTGTGGTGCACAAGGATCTTGTGGAAATAAAGTTGAAGCAGAAGGAGGTGATCATACAAAGGAGAGTGATGTCGTATATAAGGTTGAAAAGAAGTGCATAAGCTTTTTGGCAACTGTGGGAAGGGCAATCATTAGTGAAACATCAGTTGAAGTAGAATGCACCAGATGAAAGTCGAGGCAAGAAAGAATTCAGCGATAAGACAAGTTTAAGAAGTAATGTTAATTATATGAGTAGTAAAGATATGAAGCTAAGTGGGACACATAAAGATTACTAATGAGAGCCAGAGATGTGCTGTTTGAGCCAATGAATCATGGCTTAAGAACCGAGGATGAGGAGAGTCCGAGTAAACAGATAGAAAGATGAAAGTCTCAGACTATGCATAGACTATCATGGGTTGAGCAAGGTGACTATAAAAATAAGTACCCGTTACCAAGAATTGGTGGCCTGCTTGACCAGTTGCAAGGAGCGTCATGGTTTTCAAAGATCGACTTGACGTTAGGATGCCATCGGATTTCTACAGCAGATTAGGATGTGCGAAAAACCGCAATTCGAACGCGTTATGTACACTATGAATCTGTGGTGATGCCCTTTGGACAGACTAACGCACCATCGACATTCATAAAGTTGATGAATAACAACTTTCACGAGTAATTGGATAAATATTTAATCGTATTCATCAACAACATATTAATATATTAGAGAAGTAAATGAGAGCATGATTGGCACCTACTAGTCGAATTGAACAAGTCGTGGGAGTAAAAGATATTTGCAAAGCTAAGCAAGTGCAGCTTTTGGCAAAGAAAGATTGGATTTCTCGGCCATGTAATTTTGGAAGCCAGGGTGGCTGTGGACGTGGAAAAGATCTCAACGATCTCTAATTGGCCACGCCTGCGAGTGCCACAAAAGTGCGCAGTCTTCTTGGATTAGCCGGATATAATCGAAAGTTTGTGAAAGGGTTCGCAAGTCTATACAAACCGATGACAGAATTGACCGGGAAAGGTGTAAAGTTTAATGGAGTAATTAATACGGAGAATGTTTTGGAAAGTTATAGGATCTTTTGACTCAGACTTCGGTGTTTGTACTACCAAGGACCGGAGTACCATATGTGGTTTATACTGATGCATCATGAAGCCGACTAGGTTGTGTACTTATGCAAGAGGATAGGGTAATCACATTTGCATCAAGGCAGTTGTGAAAGCACGAGGTCAGTTATCCAACGCATGACCTAGAGATAGTAGTGGTAGTATTCGCCCTGAAGATATGGCGTGCCTACTTTTATGGAGAAAAGGTTCAAGTGTTCACTGACCACAAAAGTTTGAAGTATGTGTTCACCCAGAACGACCTAAATCTCAGACAAAGAAGATGGATGGAGATGTTTGCTGACTATGATTTTAAGATAACTTACCACCCGGGAAAATCTAGTAATGTAGCGGACGCCCTATCTCTTGGAAACCTTTGCTAGCTTAAGCTTGTAAACTACAACGGTCAAAGAAGATAACACTGGGTTGAAGGCAGTGGAACGAGCATATCTTTTGTGGATGATTAGAGAGGTGCAGAAAGAAGTTGCAACCTTGATTAAAGCAGTGGAAGCCAGTGTGATTGGGTATTGCACATCAGACAATGTTATAGAAAGTTAAAGAAACTTAGACCATGTTATATGGGACCATATATTACAACAGAGAGAACTGGTGCAGGGGTTTACAAGCTAGACTTACATGAAGAGTTATCTGATTTTCATAATGTGTTCCATATTTCAGTTTTGCGGAAAGTGGTTAAGAAAAAAGAGATGAGTATTTGAAAATCGCTAGCAGACCTTAGAAAGGAGATGATTATTTGAAAATCGCTAGCAGATCTCATTGAAGCCTAGATCGGGGCGCAACCCAAACCATGCAATTCGAGGAAGAATTTATTTTATGTGAGGGAGAATTGTCATAGCCATATCCTAATCATTTATCCAAAACCGAAAGGCCCAAAACATGAAGCCCGAGTCTAAGACGTAACCTAACCTTTGGTGCACCTTATCCCTCCCCCTATATATGATTGTCAACAGAATAAGAGAGCATACCCAAATTATCTACAGCAAAGCTTTGTTGAAATTTCTGCATAACAGCCTCCACTAGTCCGACCAGTCGACTTGCGACGCATTTTCCCGTCGATTCTGGAGGATTCAGATCAAGATCTTGATCTCTCTGGAAATCTCATTCTCTTAGATTTCCATAGAATCCAAAATCCCGTCATTTTCACTTATATTTTGTCAGTTATCATTAATTTAATCCGATCGGATTAATCTCTCAAAATCTAGAAACTTGACTTTTCTCTGTTTTCGCAGTAGAGATTATGGGTCGTTTTCCCAACGGATCAAGAGGACCTATCAGACGATCTTGCTACCTTTTGAAATAGGACACTCCAACGTTTCTAGAAAACCTAAGATCACTTGACTCAGACCAGTGTTCGCTAAGATATAGACGTTTCTTTCAGGACAAGCAGATCTGTTAAAATTTTAGTTTATGAACCCGAGTTTCAGAAAATCTGTTCTGATGCAGTAACTTCAAAAGTTCGTGAAACCTTCATGTGAACTCTGATCAAAATAAAATTTAAGGGGCGATGATCGTGGCATCACATGCTGGGGAATCAACGATGACATTAAGTTTTCATCGGTTCAGTTGCAAGTTATGTCTATATCATCAGGACATCTAAGATGAGTCTTCTGCTTTATTGTCAAGTGGCTAAAGTGAGGATTTGTGACCTGCAGATTCTTATTATGCAATGGTCTGGTTTTTTAATTAGATATGTTGAGTTTAGGAGATTGTTTTGTTGATTGATAATGATTGGTGATGATGATGTGTGATGTTAAATATTAAAAATGATGATAGTATGTTGTGAAATTGGTATTGTGGAAAGTGTGTGATATATGTGTATAGTCGGACTGAGAACGGGGATATGACGATTCTTTCGAAGCCCGAAAATCGACGAACGAGCTAAAGGTGGTGTATGTTCTTTCGAGGTGATGGCCAGCTTAAGTGTGTAAAGTGCATTGTCATTTGTCATGTGTTAAGTGTGTAATAAAGTTATGATAAATGAATTTAATATATGTTATGTGATGTAGTGATAAATTGTATTATGCATTACTATTTAATGTTTAATATATTTGGTTGCTGAATTATATTATTGTTGGTAGAAATTATGTGGGCAGATATAATCAACCTCATTAAATAATCTAAACTATTAAAAGAAGATCATACTTAAAATATGTTCAAATTTTACTGTGGTATTTACAAGCTATGCCTTGGATTTGCTAGAGAATTTCATGTTTTCATTAAGGATATTTTTGTCATTACAATTTATACAACTGATATTATTACTTGGTTTTATTACTGAAAAAAAAGATTAATTAGATTTATCAGAAACCGAAAAGGTTGTAGTTTCATCTTCGTAATTGAATGAAAGATAATTATCATAGATGGTATCTTCAATAGCCACAAACTTGAGATTCTTCTGGGTACTCTCTATTGCTTCCTTCGACTTATGTGTAAAAATGAATCAGAAACGATACTAAACCCAATCGAATGAGTGTCGATTTAAATCTCTAAATTGTTAAAAGGTGGGAAAAGACCTAAAGGGGATCCTGCGGATCGTCAACGGAAATGAGAAGGAAGATGAGGTCGGATTCGTCGATATACATCATGGGTTCGTGGAAGGGCAAGACCTGATTTTCTACACAGATGAGAAAGAGATCGGAATTAGCATAAAACAACAATGATGTAAAATTGAGTGTAAGAGAAGAGGAACAAACCCATTGAGAAGACTGGTCTGACGAACTTGGATTGGGTAGAAGGAGTAGTGAGAGGTTGAAAAGAGGAGAAAGAAGGTATGGCTAAGGCTAGGGAAGTGGAGGAACTGAGAGAGAGAGAGCAAGAGCAAAAGAGATTAGCTTTGGTAAGATGGAGACTGGAGACGTAGAAGAAGAAGAAGAAGGAGAGAGTGGTTGTGTTGTTTGGTTTTTCATTGAACACACAGACAAGAGCTTGGTGCTGCCTCTCGGCCGTGGCGGGGGGATGAGTTGCAAACTGCCGACCAAACTCATGTTGTAGTTTATGGTTCTTCTCTTGGCCGTGGTGGAGCTGTGTAGCTTCGATCTCAAAATCTGATTCTCATCTTCGATCTGTCTTCTCTTCAAGTCGTATTGAAATTGCAGAACGATTATGGTTTTAGGGATTTTGCTTTGATTCGATTAATAAATACTTTATCCGATTTTTTGGCTGTGATTTCCTTTTTTTACTTTTCAAAACTTTTCAATAGATTGGTTGATTTGTGATTAAGTTTCTCAATTTCTGACTTTTTTGTTTGTTGTTGTGATTGCCCGGAGCTTCGAAACGATGTTCTATTTACTTTCTATTGAACTTACATAGTTGGAGATTATAACTTTTTATTAGTAGCAAAACAATGTGGTTCAGTTTGGTATTTTCTCAGTTTTTGTTTTGTGTTTTAGTTGGCATTGTAATTCATTTCATTGTCAGTAATCTAATTTAGTATATAACATTTTTGTTAGACTATGATGGATCCACCATGGAATATTTAAGTTTTAGTTTCTGACATTTGTGAAGTGTGAACTTAAATAGAAGAGGTTATAGAATTTTGTAAATGAATATTAAGAACATTATTCGTTTTGAATCTATATAAAAATTTTAGATGCAAAAAATTTTAAATAATTAAAAGCAATATATTTTTTAGAATTTTCTTTTTATCTATATAAAAAAAGCATGCTCTAAAACATGAATTTAGATTTTCACGAATTTTACAGATTTGACGGAAAAACATGATTTTGAAAAATTGCTTATAAAAACAAGGTTTTACAGTATTAATAGGAAACATGATTTTTTCATATTTACGGGTTTTACAAATATCACAGGTTTACATGTTTTGGCAAGTAAAATACAGTTTTACAGATTTTATGGGAGATTTTGCAGTTTTGATAAAAAACGCAATTTTGTGGAGTTTACAGATTTTGACAGATTTTATGGTTATTAGCGGAAAAATATAGTTTTACTAGATAAACACGCGTTTGCAAGTTTGTTAGAAATGTGATTTTGTAAGTTTGGTAAAATCACATAATTTTTTATAAATTTGACCGTAAATCACTTATGTTTAAAAGATTACCCCAAAAAAGAAGTATATGATTACCAATTCAATTACTAAACTTTTCAAAATAATAAATAATTAAACTTACAGAGATTAAATATAAAAATATGATAAATTTAATTTAATTTCAAAAAATTACAAAGTCAGAATTTAACTAATATTTGCACAATATCATGAATATAAAGAATATACCCAACTAATCAAATCGGAATCCTATATAAATATTTTTTAAAATTTTTTACTATTAGACCATTATTCATTTTCATACTCTTATATTCAATAAATATATTTTTTATACAAAAACATTATCATGATTAGGTTAGTTTTTTTTGTAGTACAATAAGCAGATTAGAATCTGTAAATTTAAAATTTTCAACACATCTTAAAATTTTTTTTTTTCTATACAAAAATATAAAATATAAGGGATAACAAATAACAAATTCTTGATATCCTAATAATGGGTTAAAAATTTAATAGATTATATAATCCATATGTACCAAACATTTAATAAATTACTTCATGTTTTCTTGGCGGAATTAAGTTAATATTTGACATAATATCAGAAATTTAAGGAATATAGCCAATTAATCTGTTAACAAATTTTGGTAATCATAATCTTTTGTAAATATGCTTTAATTTTTTTTTACTGTCCACCTATTATTTATATTTCCATATTTTAATCACCTAACCTTCATAAATATATTTGGATATACAAAAACAAAATTGCCACATTTAGATAGAATCTTTTTTTTTTGGTTTTCATAGGGGTTATAATATAAACTTAAGAATTATCACCATATTTTAAATGTTACACAAATATTTTTTTTCATATAAAATATATAACATAAAAACGATAAAAAATGAAAAAATCGTTTCTTATAGCAGGTTAAAAGTTTATTAAATGGATGTAAATAATATATTTATATCAGAAATAAAATTAGATACTTCTCATGACTTTCAGCTATAAAAAACTTTGTCTAAAAGAAAAATAAAAATTATATTTAAAAAAAAATAGTAGATTAATTAAGATGAAATATAAAAAATTATCTTCTATTTTTAAGATAGATTAAAATCACAACTTCAAATTTTATATAAAAAAATATAATCCGCGCAAGGCCGCAGGTCTAAAACCTACTTTATTAATTATATTTCTTTTTCTCCGTTTTAATATGTGTAGGTGTGTTACTTGTAATGTAAATTATGGCGTGGAATCTACCACACAAAAATAACGGAAACAGATATCACATGTGATTTTAAACGTTCTGGTTTTAAACACGAAACGGTTTATACAATTAGCTGACAGCATATATAGTAGCAATTAAGCCGAAATTAAAAAAAAATGTCAATATTATAATTTTTCGAATAGAAGCATAAGTCAAACCTACCAAGTTAAATTTAATATGCAGTATAAGGGTAACTCTTTCTTATATCTTTTATACAGTTTTTATGATGATATACATTAATTATATTTTATAATTTTAGATTTGGACTCTTCGTGCAAATGTGTTGATTTGATATATGAATTTAACAGAATTAACAGAAATGGCAGATGTGAAGGACGTGATGGAGTTGATGGTAATATTTCAGATTAAACTGGACATGTAAAATATTATCGTTAAAGTATTTTTTTTATGGAGATGAGCGGTATGCAGTTTTGGAGCGAAAGTCTGATGAGGATATGGTTTAGGTATCTTTTTCGAGGTCGTGATACCCGTCTGATGTTTGGTGAGGATGGAAGTAGTGTAAATGGACCATAATGAGAGCAGGGTAGGAACTCTCTCTCCATAGGTGTTACGATGTACAATAGAGGGGAGAAAGAAATCCTATCTTGGCTGGCATTCCTTCCGGGGGACGGTGAGCGTACCCGCTAAACGGGAGCGAGCTCCGGTGAGATGGAGATCGGAAGACTCTCCTTTTGGGATGTATTCTCTTTAGATGTGGTCTTTCTTTCTAGGTATCAGATCCCGGGTTGTGGATTGCGGATTGCCTCTCTTCTTTTCCTTTTCTTGAGCCTCCTTTTATACTCCCTTTACCTTGACAAGTCCCATCCAAGTGGCGTGCGGCAGAAGCAGGTCGGACAGTACGTCACGCCTAGGTTGGTAAGCACGCTACTTGCCTGATGTTGAGGTTTTTAACCTTTAATCAATCCTTAAACACACGTCATTATAGTAATTGAGGTGTCAATCCACTTGGAAAGCTAATAACACTTGAGATATAGAGAACTTTGCTAAGCTATGTTAATAAATAAGGGGTTTTTTATGCTAACAACCTAAGATGTCACATAAAGCAAGAACAAAAGCTAACACCCCATAAGCAATAAAAGGAAATGCAAAGCAAAGATAAGAGCAAATGCAACGAAGCAAAAAATAAAGAATATAACTAAGGTTCAAATATAAACTAAAGATTCAAGACCAAGGCAAATGATGTTGGGTGATTTTTATTCATGTCTAAGATGCTCAAAGAAGCATAGGGTGGTTCTTATTCAATTTCTAAGATGTTCAATGAAGCATATGGTGATTCTTATTCATGTCTAAAATGTTCAAAGAAGCAATACTAACTACGCAACCTTAAGTAAGGAGCACAATTAAAAGTTAATCTAATCTCTTGGCAAAAATCCATTTTCTAATCACATTTCAAACCCAATATTAGTTGGTGTATCTATGATTAACAAGCTTTCAATCACAAGCTCCATAAAATAAAGAACCCCCTAAACATCTAATCTATTAGGTTAGGATGAGTAATCTCTTATGCAATTAATTCAGACATTTTATTATTACTTCCATGCCCAATAACAGTCTAGAGGCAATTTTTCATCAATATGCTACTAACCATTTAGCACATTTATATAAGAAATAATAGATGATGACAGGATTTTTGACCTCTATAATCAAATCCTACACACTCATGTCATTGCAGCATGTAAGGTATCAATCCATCGGGCAAGTAAGACACTAAGAATGCAATAGTTCACTCAAGTTAAGCCAAATTCAAGATAACAAGTGTGATCAACTCTAGTGATTAAACTAATCAAGACTAAGCAATGCAATTTCGAAATAAGAGATTCAAATAGATTAAAGCAAGGACCTAAGATGAGGGTTATTGACTAAAAAGGGATTAGAACCAAACTAGTGATGCTTCAAAACTTTTCAAATAATGATATCTTCTAAGCATTGGATTAACAACTATAATCAGCCCAATTCCTTGGTACTAATCACTTTGCTAAGCACATATTCTAGACAACTTCCATTACTGAACAGATGATTAGCAAGCATTCAAACAAAAATCCAATCCTATAAAGCTAAAATGTTCCTTAGACATCTATTCCCTTGGGCTAAGATAAACAGATCCTCTAAAAGACTCATTGCATCATTTCATCAAACACTTATCAGGCATAAGAGAAAGCTAAGATACTAAACAAGCCTGGCCAAGACAGATCTAGTGTTTACCACATCTAATAGAGAGAAGACAATCATATTAAGCATAAGACATCACTAATCTGTTCCTAAAACCACTCTAATCCATCCCATATTGAACCCTAAATAAAACTACTCACTAGTGATGATCAAAACCACATATTCCATAGAAAAATATTGGCTAAGCATGATTAGAAAGCAGAATAGACAAGAATTGATAAAGAGAAACACACAAATTCACTAAATCAAAGAAGAGTCTTACAAAGAAAACCTCAAAAGGGAAAGGTTTTTAGCTAAGAGCGGTAGAGAAAATAATAAGATAAGAGTTGCCTAAACATTTTTAGGACTTCAATATTTATATGGAGGCTTAGAAACCCCTAGTAAACCAAGAGAAAACCAATTTTAAACTGACTCGGTTGGACCGGTTTAAAATCTTAATCATGTTCAACATCTTGTCCTCTTGTGATTTGGTATTTTTCATGATGATGAGTGAGTAGTCACTTTTAGGGTTTTAGATGTGGTAGATTATGGG